CGACTATTTTCAAGACTTCTTCAGATCCGTCATGATCCATCGACTCGATCGATTCAAATGTTCAGATTCGAGGCACCTCACACACGAGAGGATTCTATTACACGTTCATCACTGACAAAGTCCAAAGCAACAACCGCCCTGCGGTTCCATCTCTGTCCGGATTCTCATCGTTGGACAAATCCGACTTCGCTTCCGATGGCAACAACAACAACAACCACTTCACCGAGTGTCTCTGTTTCTCCAGCGTTTCTCTCCTGGGCATTCGTCACCAGGGAAGGACAGTTGCCTCTAGATCAGTCTCGTCCAAGCTCAATTGCAACGAGGAGGCGAGCTGTTGTAGAAACGGCTCGGTGGAGGACCGTCTCTAGGGGCTGTCTTCCATGGGGTACCAGGCAGCTGGACCTGCGACGGAGGGGTTGGCCCCCGCCGCGGATGGCATGTACTACCAGGCCCGGCCTTGGAACGGCAGGTACGCGCCGCATTGTGGCTGCTGCTGCTGCTGCATGCTCTGCTGGGCACCGGTCCTCGAGTACGAGCAATGCTGGAGACTCTGGCTGGACGTAATCACGTGGTTCACACCGACCACCGAGTGATGAGGCACCGAGGAGGCCGCGTGATGAGAGCCGTGAGGGCTCGACGCCGCGGTCATGTGAGGGGCTGGACTTGCCAAGGCCGCGCTTGGTCCGCCACGGCTGCCCTCGTTTCCGCCTCCGCCGCCGCTTCCGCATGGCTTCCCGTCTTTCACCAGCACCGGCACCGCCACCCGTCGCGGCGAACTGGCGCTCTGCAACGCACAAAAGTTCCATTACTCTTTCCACTGGTTTTCCCACTCTGTTTCAATAGTGCTGTGGCATTACACACTAAACCCTACCCAAGCGGGGTCAAATTTCAAGGCCCCCCTTAGATGTCATTGCATCGCCATTTAACTTCACGACTATTCTTATATATACGTCTAATGCATTTTTTAATATTCGCTTTCTTCCTTTTTTTTCTTAAGTTTTGAAAAATATTTGTGGTCATTTAACAGGGGACAGATGAAGGACAATAGGAATCGTTTCTCAATAACCTTATACAAATCAAACAATTGTACTCGGAAAAGCGGAAATTACAAAGCTGAACCTAATAAAAAGATACTGATGTAAGTGACCAAATGGCCAGAAAATACTGCATAAAATCTAAATCACGGAGATGGTGTTTGCAGGTATTTTTTAATATCTTAGATTTGGCCGAGGTAAATGCTTGGATTTTACGTAAAGAAACGGAATTTTGAGGCAAGAATCTTTTTTATTTCAATTGAGAGAAGAGCCACAGAAGGACCAGCAAAAACAATCACAAATACAACTATTCATGTGATTGGACAAAATGCCAGATAAGATTTTGCAAAGGTAATAAGAATCTATTTAAAATGTGGTATAAAGAATCCTATAATTTATAAGCAATCTGGTGAAACTGAATAAAATAAAGGTTACTTACTTTTAAATATAAAAAAAAAATATTTTATTCGCTATCTAATTGTTTATAATCTTCATTCTGTGTTAAGAAATATGTTCTTACTGTAACCGGTCAACTGACTGTAAGAAATGGTAAGAGATAATGCACAACATAACTTTTAAATCCATTTCTATACTTATCATAAACAGAACATAAACAGAAGAAGATCATAGGGGCAGCGTTTACTTCATTTAGAAATAAATGAAGGATATTTTTGGCTTCTTAATTGTATTTTTTTGCAAATGATAGACTTCCTACATTTACTGCAGACATGATTTTTTACAAATCATACAAGATTTAATTGTTTTATTATCTTTGCAGAATCGCGTCTAACGTGTTTTCCTTTTCTTCTTGGAGAAATTCGTCACAGTCTTCTGCTAATTGTAATAGAAATTGGTATATTTCGTCCACTTGTTGTCCTTATAAAGGATCCATGCATTGACACCGGCCAAGCCAAGGATGTTGAAAAAAGACTTGTCATCCATAGGATTTGGATTTTGACTCTGTACATTCTCGCCATTTTTTGATCGACGCTGAATTTGGTTTCATTATAATACAACGCAATTGCCTTAGGTATATTCGCTTTCTATCGTCATTGATTTTGACACAATTATACTTGGAACTTAGTGTTTTCAACCTTCTTGCTTGAATTTGAATTTGAATTACACGACGCCATTAACTTGGAGTATCAAGTACTATGGATTATCACTTTCAGAGATTTCCATAAATGGGGAGCAATGGGCGAACGTGTTGCCTGGAATCTCTCTGGGCATCCGTCACTCCGTCCAAGAAAGAAACGACAGCCTAGTGTACCCGATGTCCGCCGGTGTGCAAACTCAGTCCCCACATGTAGATGCACAGACTGTGTACGACGAGCTTAGCGTACAGAAGACGACGTGGGACGACGTCGTGGCTCGGCTTCTGTGTTCCAAGCAAACACGTGGGCTCGGTAGGCACAGCAGGTACTTAACCCGCGCGATACCTCATGATCAGCATTCGAGCATACTCGTACTCTAGCAGCCGGAGATTCTCTCCTCCCCCCTCCCTCTCTCTCTCTCTCTCATTACGAATAAACAGTACCAGCTACCGTGGACCACAGGGTTCCACAGCCGAGGCACTGTCGAGCCACGTCAACATCGAGAACTGTGCTGCTGTCTCTCCCCGTCTCTCCCCGCGTATCTGTCCAAGGGGGATTCAATACGACGAGCGAGACCCCACGGCATGCCAAACAGAAGCCGAAGCAAGCCGGCCGAGTACCTGCCGGGACGACCACTCAGCTGTATCAACATTCGGTACACGACATTCCTCTTCGATCTGCGCGCCAGCGACGCTTTAATAATATGATCGCGACCGCTCAGAAATAACGCCTATTTCGGCTGACAGGCTCGCACGCATTCTTTCCTTCGCTCTTTCCTTTGGAAATTGGAACGCCGAGATATCCTTACAAAAGACTCGACTTTCAGCTGTGAGGATTAACACATCACGCAGCCCAAGACGAAGCTGAAGAGGAAGCTTTCTGAAACTGTTTCAGGAAACTGTGTTCTATACGAAAGGAAAGAAATGCGCCACGAGAGTACGATCTCTCGTACGAGCGATCGAATTACGCGAAAGAAAATGAGACGTAGAGCGCCGTACGTATTCGAGTGGCCAACGCGAGAACTTACGCGGCACGTTGCACGCTGGCCGCGAGAGCCATAAGTGCAGGCATGCCGTGCACACTTCACGCTGACAAAGTGACGATTACGCTAAACGCATGACGGTCGGCGCGCGCGTCACGCGTCACGCCACTTTAGCCACTTCAACACGCGTTAAGCGATTTCCGGCGAAAATGGCCGTGCTTAGGAACGGAGTAGTACCGTGTTTATGAGCGGCGACCACTGCGCCGTGCATAATGAGCCCCAATGTTGCTGGTGATCGCCTGGCCGCGATTGGATTCTCGGGAAACATATTACGCGTCGATTTTCCTCTCTCTCTCTCTCCTCGTGGACCACTGTCCCCTTAACGGTACGTAGGTACACACACACATGTACGCGCGTGTACATGCATTTCTTCCGCGGAAGCGATCGTTGTCACCGGTTGCTTTTTAGGTTAAGGACTCGACCGAGATTCAATTTTTTTTTCTTCTTCTTCTTTGCTTGCAGGTACTATCAGTGCTGCTGCAGGTTCGTTTCGATCAGAATTTGAAAATACAAATTAACGGGGAAATAAAGAGAGAGAAGGAAGACACTGCTCAAGGCGAGAGGTATCCCATTCGCGCAGAATAAATAACGAGTCAGGCTAAGCCTAACCTAAACCTACGTTAGGTATACTTTAGTAGATTTATTGAATCTAATATAATCATTGTAGGTTAGAATAATCCCACTGTAATTTAGTCAATCCAATATTACAACGGATGATTATTGGGACACGATAGCTGTTGAAACAAATAAATATGCAGCACAGATGCTGAATGGTGAGAATTACAAAAAAGAGAAGTGAAATTATTTTTATCATCGGTAGCATCATACTGAAATAAACTGAAATTAATATATATGCAATCTTTTGTCTACTGAAGAAGTTTTCTCTTGGAAAATTTTCTATTATTATATAAATAGTAATGCAAATTAATATATGCATGTCGCGAGGACGAGGAACGAAGGAGGGAAACATTTGCGAGATAAAGCTGCACTTGAAACACATGCGATCCATGCACCTACTCATAGCCGTATCGAATATCCAAATGCGACGCCAGTGACTTCCACGCGAATGCATCTCCCGTGGAAAAAAAAAAAGAAAAAAAAAACACTCGTCATCGTTGGAACTGATATAATTAACTAAAAGCCTGGGCCTCTACCTACAGTGCCGCGGCTTTTCCCCTCCTTTGCTCCTCTTTCTCTCACCAGCGCCGTTAAGCAGTCCAGCCCGACTGCTGGTCGTCTACGTTTCGTTTCTTTACAGAAGCCTCGGTCGAACAAAGAACCACGTGGAAGAGATATTTAAAAGATTTCTGCCGGGACCTCTCTCGTTTCCGCAACGAATGGAATTCAATGGGTTCCGTAAACGAGAGAGTGGTTTTTAAATCTAATAACCGATGTTTCACCACCGAGTGTAATTACATTAGGCGGTCTCTCGATATCCGCCAAACAGCTTTCGCGCTCTCTTCCTTCCAAAAAAAAAAAAA